TCAAAACAGCACTATGTTTCTTACGCAGACTGTGACCAAAACATAAGGCCACACTATCTTGGTCTTCATAGGTAAAGAGAATACGTAAGTAAATGACATTATAAGCCCTCACAACTAAGTAAAACGCATTAAACCATAAATCATTTTTAAATACTCGAAAGAAAAGTGTCGCTGAGATAGAGTAGAAGGACTCCATAAAATATAAAATTTTCGAACTCGATTAATCATGTTGTAATGATGCTCGCAGCCTCTTCTACTGATGTATTAAATAATACTAAAGGAAGAAAGCGTAAGCAAGGAGGTCGAGATGATTTTCGAAATCAGAGCACCTTTTGCTGTCAAAAAGACTCATTGTTATAGCCAAATCATCCAAATGACGATCATCAAATTAAGAATTACTTAGGATTTAAACATTCATACTGGCCGCACAAACAAATATTTACCATGATACTGCTGGAGAAAATACATTATTTAGCTATATTTTCATAGAGCCTACAAAATTGTTAAACATATAATGCAAAATGCAATATACATTTGTGTTAAATAAAAATTTTATTTTACTATAGTTTCATCAATAATTCAATGACAATAGTTTTTGAATTAATGCTTTCTGTGCGCTAATTTTAAATGATGTGTAAATCCCTCTATTTCACGCCTCAAGATAAATTATGATAATAAAGGCCGAATAACTCTGTATACCTCTGAAATGAACTTAAAATGTGATGTAAATATATCGATATAAAAAGCAAGTGAAGTTTACCGGCCAGATGCGATTGTGATTCAGCCTCTTTTCGGATCAGTTGTATATTTTAAGCTATGTAAAAAATGCCAAATAGCGAACTAAGGAAATGAAGATTAGATTGATTATTTTTTAATGATATCGAAAGATTTGAGATATCCACTTTGAATAGTAAAGCTTATTAAGTTTGTAAAATAGTGAATAAAAATTTTATTTTATATCTAAGATAAATTTGATACTGCTTGGTTAAATGCAATTTCTGCTTTTGCATTTTAACAAATAGATATCCAAATTATCAGGCCGATAAACATAAAGTCGTCTGAATTACTTAGATTTATGGACAATTTTGATGAGACCAGCATTATCACCTTAAAGATTTATGCTTAACATATTATAATTTGGCATTTAGTTTGGAAAAAGCATAATCGGTGCCTTCGGTTTTGCCTGATGTGACCTCCAGGTTTATATGATCTGGTCAATCCTTGTCTATTTATAAGAACGATTTAGAGTATATCTAGTCCAAAACATAAATGTTTTATAAATCGTTTTCTTTATGTCAAATAACGGCAGACTGTTTATCTTCCTCATTTGA